GATGAAGTGGATAATCGACAATAAATGATTGTATACCCGTCGAGTATCTTCTTGCCTGATGGTGGATAGAGGAGGGAGAAATAAAACCAATGATACTTATAAAATTTAGTATATTACAAGCATCGGACCGCTGCCTGAGGACAAAACAGACTTGTCGCTAGTACAAGCCGTCTAGTCAAATGATTCTACAGAGGAAAAGCTAGACTTGAAGGCAGGACACTCAATGCAATATATGAATGGACGTTAGTTGTTAGGTGAGATTTTAATTCTCCTTACAAGTTACTGGTGGTAGGATAGGATAGCTGGTAGGACTGCTTTTTTATAGTATAGGGTGACAAACGAGCACACATGCCACCTGATGGTAAGTGGTTACTGTGGCCCATAGACATCTACACCTATCCTCGATTACGAATTAAAATGCAGATGCGTTGTCACCCGTGAGGACTAAGATGGAATGCCTTGTTTCCATTAAAAAGGGCCTCCGGTACTCTACACTCACTATACGAAACACAGCAGCATTAAGCTGCTATTTTACGCTGCTATTCTATGAGAGCGTGGTCTCTAGGAGTCTGTCTGTGTGGATATCACCATCTTATCTGTTTAGTCACTACGTAAAATTCCATGCGTTAACTCAGTAATTCATTGTGTTAACTCAAAATTGCAAATTTTACACACCAGTGTGAACTCAGCCATCTGTCGAAATAAAACCTTGTGGCCACTAAGTAAAATAAAATGATTGTGGCTTATAAAATAATATAAAATAAGATTTGTGTAATACCACAAGAGTGTTCAAAATAAAATATAAAATTATTAAATCAACAAAATAAATATTAATATATTTAATAGAATCACGTGTTACTTTGCGGAAATCCGTTATATTGAAGTTGTTAGATTTGTTTTTATTTTCGCATAAGAAATAAAATTATAATAGTATAAAATAATAATAATAATTGTCGTTTAAGATTTTGAAATTATTATTTTCTAGTACCGGACCACTGCCTGAGAATAAAGCAGATGATTTTACAGTAAAAACTCACAAGCCCAAAGAATCTGTGAAAGAAAAACCGGACCCGAATCTATACCCCTCATTCGAGATCAACCCATATATAACTGAGTATATGAAAGACGAGACGATGTTAGCTTTTAGGTGAGTTTTAATTTAGTCTCTAAAGCATTTCAGTGATGAAACACGTTATAGACACAGTAGAGCCAGAGTACATAGCTCGAAGAATGGATTACCATTACTGTTACAGCCTATGAAAGCTCACTGCTGAACACAGGACTCCCCCTATTTGCCTCATATAGGAAATATTTGCCACTGTTGTCATACTTGGCAGGTTGGTCTTTCTTAGTTGTTATTAAGAAGACCCTGCAGCCCATCTCCTGATTTATTTGCCACGGTCGCTTACGACACCCAGTGAATGATATGGGGTAGTGGATATTCATACTCACATTACTCAGCCACTCAAGCGTCCACAGTGACTGTAGTCCCCACAAAAATTCTTGCATTAGCTGTCATGGTGACTACAGTCACCGAACGAAACCGTTCGGTTTAAACATGTACAGCGCTAAAAACTGATGTTAATAATACAGTAGAAAAATAAGAGATGGTGTTATTTGCAATTTGTCATCCGCGAGAGTGAATTTTATCTGTGCAATAGCAACAAAATGTTCAGAAAAAAAAATGTGAAAAAGACAGTTTGCCATTCATATTTGTGAACTGTTAAAATGTGTGGAGCTCAATCGAAAATGTGGTAAGTTTTCTGTTTTTATACGTTTTTTGTAATCATATTGTATATCAAATTAATTATGAATATATTTTCTGTACAAATAATAATTTAGCTCGAAAATTTATATGATCACTACGGGATTATCGTTTGTTGATTATACGTTGTATTCCAATCGGTTGTTTTTGTTAAATATGAAAGAATGCTTCACTGTTAGCAAGTTAATAACCAAACAAACGAAATATGTTGAGATGTTTTTTACGTGGTAGAGCCATGCTGCAGCTTGTGGTTGCAGCACGAATTGGTCGGCTCGACCAGGGTAGGACCACGCTCTCACAGAATACCAGCGTAAAATAGCAGCTTAAAGCTACTATGTTTCGTATGGTGAGAACCGGAGACCCTTTTTACTGGAAACGAGGCATTCCATGTCAGTCCTGAGAGCTAGCAATGCATCTGCATTTTGATTCTTAATTGAAGATAAATGTGGATGTCTATGGGCCACAGCATCCAATTACCATCAGGTGGACTGTGTGCTTGCTTGTCACCCTTATTCTATATAAAAAATGTGTCTAGAAATGATTAAAATGCGCCAACTCGTTATTCATGATTTTAGTGTTGGGGAGTGAAGTCCCCATGGACAGACATAAAACGTAAATAAAGGTTTCTACACACGGAGCGTTTGGTGATCAGTTTGGTAATGTTTTGTAGTGTTGTATAATTAATATTGAAAAGGAATGAAAAATATGAATGCCAATACTAATAAGAAAATTAGACAGCATCATAACTGCTCAAAACGCACCCGAAACATGCATGGTATGCATTAGAATGCCAGAATTTACGCAAAATATATTTGCAAGCGAATACGCAAATGCTTATATATATAAGCCAATTTTTACTAATGATCTTACAATTACTGTTATTTTTTGCAATTTTCTTTTTCTGCCACTTCAGTTGTACATTTTTTTTATAGGATAAGGTGACAAACGAGCACACAGTCCACCTGATGGTAAGTGGTTGCTGTGGCCCATAGACATCTACATCTATCCTCGATTACAAATCAAAATGCGGATGCGTTGTCACCCGTGAGGATCAGGATGAAATGCCTCGTTTCCAGTAAAAAGGGTCTCCGGTTCTCTACACTCACCATACGAAATACAGTAGCATTAAGATACTATTTCACGCTGGTACTCTGTGAGAGCGTGGTCCTTCCCTGATTGAGCCGACCCATTCCTGCTACAACTATACTACTAATATAACTGCAGCATTGCTCTACCACGTATAAATTTATTTTTGGTGTGTGTTATTAGATAGAGATTTAAAGTATATCAAATACGTGTAACAATATAATCATTTGTATTACAGTGACTAAATTGACGAATTAGAGCCGCAAACGTAAGTACACATTGTCTTTACTGTTTTTTTTTTTTGGTTTTACCTCCATTAAATCTATCGTCTTACAACGAAATATATTAAAAAATAGATTTTAGTTCGACAAGTCGACGAAATGGGTGCGCTGGAGGACAGGGACGTGGTCGCGGACGCGGACGTGGGTCCAATAGTCCGGAGGAGCCTCTGTCGTAAATATAATAATAGTGCTTTTTAAAGTTTCATTTTAGGTTACATTACTGGTAACACATAGGTATTTATTGTTTTTTATCTTAGTTCGACAAGAACATTTAATTTAAACGAAATGTTGTTTTTTTTGCAGTCTAGATTTGATAAATGTCAGGGCGGAGAAAGCGCTCAATAAACGCTGCCTGAACTCTATGTCCGTTGAAGTTCGTAAAGAGTTAATATGTCGCAAGCGACAAGCTGAACTTCATATGGTTCTGCCTAATGCGCCCTCGCGAAACAAAAAAGCACGGTAATTACTTCATAATGATATCAATGCTTTCGATATTCTTGCTCAGTTATTAAGCGTGAGATTTAGATGATAAAATTATCTTGCAGGAGGCCATCCCCGGAGCGTGACGCCTTTTCATTACTGGGAGAATCTGAGTCTTCTTACTGCTGCAGATGAACACCAGTTTCCTGCAACAGAAAATGAGTCCGGACTCGAGCCTGAGCCTGAAATCGAACCCGTACCTGAGCACGCGGCTATTCCCGCATGTGCAAATATGGGTACGCTAGAAACCGATACTGTTCTAAATTCCCCATATAGTTCGCTGTACTCCGACTCTCAACGGCGATAAATTTAGAGTAGACTTCACGGACACCTAAAAAAGACTATCATTTTCCATCGTTCCTCGAATAAATAACACGTACATAATGACATAATTAGTTATGCACTCATTCACGCTGATGTTATAATAGGTCCTTATGTATGAAATTGGCGTTTTGTACGGGAGGAATATAAAGTAAACTTTTTTGGTAAAATATATTTAATTAGTTAAAGTATGCACCATTGTTATCTATGCACTTTTGCCATCTCATAGGTAGTTCATTGATCCCTTTACTAAAAAAAATCATGGGGGCGAGAATCAATAAACTCTTTGAAGTCGGTTTGGACTGCCGCATCGGAGTTGAATTTTTTTCCTTGTAAGAAGTTGTCCAAATTCCGGAAAAAATGGTAATCTCTTGGGGCAAGGTCCGGGGAGTACCGTAAATGTCGCAGACATTCCAATAGTAGCTCATCTAACTTAGTTCTATTGTGGTTGATTGTTGTGCAGTGTGTGGTCTTGCGTTGTCGTGAAGCAGCATTGGCCTAGAGCGATTGACCAATCTCGGTTGTTTAGCACCTAGTTCTTCCTTCATGGCTTGCAGTTGCTGACAATAGATATCTGCCGTAATCGTTTGGTCAGATTTTAGAAAGCTGTAGTGTACGACACCAGCGCTAGTCCACCACACACACAAGTAATTCAATTTTCGCTTAGGGCAGGATTTGGCTGGGTCCCCAGGGTTCAGCCATTGCGACGAGCGCTTCCGATTATCATACAGTATCTACTTTTTATCGCAAGTAATGATTCGATTTGAAATCCATTCATTTTTGTGTCAGTTGAGCAAAGTAACACAGCAGTCGACGCGTGTTTGCAAGTTCGATTCACTCAATTCATGAGGTACGCATTGTTCAAGTTTTTTTACTTTGCCGATTTGCTTCAAGTGGATTAATACAATTTTATCACTTATCCCGAAGCCTGCAGCTATCTCCGAAGTGCTTTGTGATGGATCTAATTCCACAATAGCCTTTAATTCTTCATTTTCCACTTTGGTCTCCGGCCATCCACGGGTTTGGTTCTGAAGGTCGAAATTTCCAGAACGAAAACGTTAAAACCAAAAACGTACCGTGCTTTCTTTTGCGACACCAGCGCCGTACACATCATTAATCCTTCGAGCTGTTTCTGCAGCACTGGTGCCACGGTAGGTCTCGTACTCCTAAATATACCGATATTTCATGTTTTCCATTGTGCGGTAATAAGCGACGCCAAACAAAAACATAATGAGGAAAAACAAATGAATGACTGTTTTCAAAACTCAAATGTACCAGCTAAATGAATTTATAAATTTGAATTTGGAATTCTTAACCAAAGAGGAGATATTTCAGATCAAAATGCTCAGTACGACAAAACGCTAATTTCATATGTAAGGACCCAATATATAATATGTCTCATTCTTTTCTAATAGATACGATCATAGTGGGCGAGGCAGTTGAAGTGGAGCCCCAACCGAACACTAACCAGTCTAAAAACTCACACATAACTTCCACAAGTAAGTACTACATCCGTACATCCTCACAAACTTTCACGTTTATTATAGCAGTAGGATTTGAAGAACAATCTATTAGCCCCTAGATATGATAATTATTATGCCTTAACAAAATTTGTCTATTTGTTCGGATTGTATAATACGTATTTTATTTGTTTCAGATATTACTGACAAAAACTTTGAAACAATCTTAGAAAACTGGCTACAAGACGATAACAGTGACGTTGACTTAGACGTTGACTTCGACGATAACGACGGTTGTTTCCTTCCGGTCATACGTAACGCAGCGACTGAACCAGCATGTGACGCTGACATGACTGAGCTGGAGATTCAAGTGTTACAGGCTGAAGACGAATTGAATGACAGATTTTTACGCGACATAGTGCCTAGTAACCACTACTACAGTTTTGACTGGAAGAATGACAGAGCGATCTTTACTGGACGACGAGAGACTTTCACAGGGTTATCAGGGCTGACTTTTGACATAACAGACAAAACTCCTGTTGACATTTTTTACAAAATGATTGACACTAACTTTATTGATCGACTGCACAGAGACGAATCGCTATGCAGAGCAGAAGATAGCTCGCTTAAAAGCGAAAGACAAGCTGCTTCCAACATCGCGTCTGCGTAGATGGACTCCGACAGACTGCAACGAAATGATTACGTTTTTAGCAGTGTTGATTCTGCAAGGCCTCTACCCGTTACCGAAAAGTACTTCTCCTTTAACGGGTTTGGGACCATGCCGTATTTTTCACGCATCATGTCGTACAATCGCTTCTCACTGCTACAATCGTTATATCATTTCGTCGACAACGACAGGACAGGATACGACAGGACTAAGCTGTGCAAAGTACAACCGGTACTTGACTACCTTAATGAAAAGTTTTCAACATTATTCATTCCCTCCCAAGAGATAGCTATTGACGAGCCTCTCTTGAAGTGGCACGGACGATTGAGCTTTGCTCAAAATATTGCCACTAAAGCCGTAAAAACATACGAGCTTTGTGAGTCTCTGGAAGTTTTTTGTTTATGTTGGAAAAAATACTCAGGTTACGCCGACCAATGGTCGACCTACTGAGTGTGAGACGGTTGACCAATCTGATGATGAGACTGTTGACCAGCCCAATGATATATTGCATGACTGGCCTGAAAACGAGACGCTTCATCGACCACAGGACGAGATTGTTCACCGACCAGAGGACGAGACTGTTGACCGACCAGATGGTAACTTTGCATGTCCAACTGCTAAAATTGTTTTTGACTTGGTAAAACCACTACTCGACCGTGGACACAATAATAATGGATAATTTCTACAACAGTCCAACGATATCTAAAAAGACGTAAAACTGACTGTTACGGGACATTACGTTTGAATCGTGAATTCGTCCCAGACTCACTCAAGACCTTGACCAAGACGCACCTTCGACAGGGTGAGGTAGTGGCAAGCTACAGTCCGGACTTGTCTGTGATGGTATGGCGAGATGCTAACTTGATTAGCATGATCTCCACATATCACCGCTTTCAAGTGGGGATTCAGGACAAATACAATCGACTGACATACAAACCTAAAATTGTACTTGATTACAATAAGTCCATGGGCGAAGTGGATAGAAAAGATCAATTTCTCAGCCAGTGGAACGACGTAGAAACAAGGTATGGTATAAGAAGGTCTTCTGCAGGTTGCTGAACACGGCTGTGTTCAATGCCTATGTGATATTTTCATCGCAGGACTCGAACTCGAAAATATCACATAGGCAGTTCCGAACCATTATGGCGGAATCCCTTCTTAAAATACATCGACGCATCAACTTGACGACTGAACGTCGATTTTATACAAACAGAACTGAACAAGCGCAATTGACGATACGAACAAACAATCGACCGACAGTTGATCACGACCACTTTCCCACGCGATCGAACTTTAAAAGACCGCGTTGCTGGATGTGCACACGCCGAAAAAGGGATACTCGGACTATCCGGAAGAGTATTCAGTGTGGTATAAGTTTGTGTATTGAGCACTGCTTTAGAGATTACCACAAACAAGTTTTGCAGTGAATGAACCAAGACTGATGACAGAGACCGTGGATACAATGTTACATATACAATGTTTAGAAAATAAAAATTTTAACCACCTTTATAGTGTATCTTTTACCCCTTTAAATCATATTTATAAATATGTACATATTATAATGTATTATAACCGCGTCGTGTATGCACGCTCTTAACCGGGCGGTCATCTTGTCACATGTTTACATCGCCTGAGGCCCGGGGATCTTTTAAAGGCTAAATGGATTTGTAACATTTTTTGACAGAAAGTTAAATATTTATATCGAGATATAAATGTCATTTTATAGGGTATATCATGTACTATTATAGTATAAAATAATTGTTCCCAGTAACTATCATAATTTTAGACTTGTAAAACACGAACTAAAAAATGAATGCGATAATTTTTTTAATAATCCCAACTTTACTCTCATACTTTATTATTAATTTGAGCAATTTACTTTTAACTACATGAAACTCTGGATTTTTTAAGCTTTCCGAGAATATTTTTTATTCGAATGTATCTATAGTAGTTTTTCAGTAGTAATCGATTGTGTTGAGAGGGTCTCGCGCGGTCGTAAAAAAGAAAGTGACATTTAATGCGCGGACAAGTGCGAAGAGAATCGCTCACGCGTCTTGGACGCTTGAGTGGATATTACACATTAGTGTTATGTTATAACACGAGTGTAATACTATTTGACTCGGAAATGTAAATAAGTGGTGGCAAATGATTCAAATAACTAGATCATTCACGTTCGGGTAATCTTTATACATTGTGTTCGTTTCCGAGATATTGCTATTGCATGCTCGCAGGTAATCTCTAGTTAAATGTAACCAAACCTACAAAAACATTATTTTTGTAATTTAAAGCTTAAAGAATATCCTTACATTACAAGACACAATTAAGTTTAACGATGAGAGTGTTATATGAAACGCCCAGCTATCTTCTGTATCGAGGGTGTTACCAACTGCTTGGGATTCCATAACATATTAACATAACATAAACACTCACGCCTGTCACCCAGAGGGGTAGGCAGAGACTACAGACTTCCATTTGGCACGATCCTGACACACCTCTCTCGCCTCCTTCACATCCATACACCTACGCATACATGCTCCTCCGTTAAGGGTACTCCTAATTTGGCCCGTTTTCAATAAATCGCCAATTTGGTCGATAAATTTTCGCCTAGGACGTCCCTTTCCGACTCTGCCATTCACTGCTGCAACATAAAATTTCTTTATCACTCTTTCCTCATTCATTCTTTCCACATGACCAAACCACCGAAGCATTCCTTTCTTAATCCTGGTCACAACATCATCTTGCAAACCACACTCTTCTCTTATTACACAATTTCTTACCCTGTCGTTCAGATTCAGCCCTAACATACTCCTTAACGACCGCATTTCTACTGCGTTGATTCTACTCTCGTGCTTCTTCTGCCACACCAAACTTTCACTACCATACGTTAAAGTAGGGACCAACACAGCATTGTGAATTGCCATACGTGCCTTTTTTGACACATTTTGACTCTTCACAATAGAGTGCAGGGCCCCATTTACTCTATTTCCCGCATTCACTCGTCGTTCTATATCCTTATCATATCTCCCATCCCTGCTAAATACGCAGCTCAAATATACAAACTCATCTACTTGCTCGATCAACTCCCTTTCTATTCTTATTTCACAAATCGTTTTACTTTCTTCTCTTTCAAAAACTATAACCTTCGTCTTACTTGCGTTCACTTTCATACCCCTTTATTTTAATGATCTGTTCATTAATGTAACCATCATTTGCAACTCGGCCGCCGACGACGCAAGGATAACTTGATCATCGGCGTACAAAAGGCATTTGACGGTTAACTCACCCATTCTTAATCCGCATTCTTCAACTTTCAAATTTTGCAAACAACTGTCCATAAATAGGTTGAACAGCCACGGGGAAGCCACACAGCCCTGTCTGACACCTTTATGGATGTCAAACCAGTCCGAGTAGACCCCGTTGATCCTAACACAAGCACTAGAGTCCCTATAAAGAGACTCCAATGCCTGTATCAAGCCAGCGCTCAACCAAAATGAGTTCAGTGTTTGCCATAGCACATCCCTATCCATTCTGTCATAGGCCTTTTCCAAGTCCATGAACGCACAAAAAACCTTTTGGTTTTTTGGCCAAAAACTTCTCCGCGATCATGCGCATGGAAAAGACTTGATCTGTACATCCCATTCCCTTTCGGAATCCCGCTTGCACATCCCAAATTTTTCCATCAGTTTCTTTCATGACCCTTTCAATCAGTACCTTAGCATACAGTTTTCCCACAATGCCAAGAAGGCTGATGCCACGGTAGTTTCTACAAGTCCCGCTGCGACCCTTTTCCTTTATGTGCTGGGACTATCACGGCTTTGCACCAGTCTACCGGTACCCGCTTCAGTTCTCAGCATAAATTTAACAAGGTGTACAGAGGGCTGCCACGACTTCCTCTCCAGCCCTTAGCATTTCGAGTGAAACTCTATCATATCCGGCAGCCTTACCTGCTTTCATGGTATCTAAAAAGACGTAAAATTCCATAATTATTAAAATTAAATCCCAACCCAAGCATACAACTGCAAGACTTCAAGATACTATAAGCTCAATATATGTATAACGGACAAAACATTATAATTTTAAACTGAAGGTAGCCGTGTACCCCTGACCATGAGTGTTGTAAAGTACTCGAGACGAGGGTAGTTTAAAATAAACTATTATACGCAATAAAATCCGTAGAGACTAGTTTCATCTAAATGTGTAGTGTTTGCGTAAATATAAGAAATCGTAGTCAAGTTTATTTTTCTTTTTTAGAGAAAAGTTGAAAGAAAAAATCCAGTATGCCAGCGCAGTATATAAGTGCGACCTTTGTATATTAAGTTTTGACAATCAAAAGCAGATCGACGAACACCATGTACTGGTGCATAAAGCTGTAAGTTCAATGTTTTTAGTTTTTAAATATAAAAATAATTCTTACCCTCATCAACTTAAGCATAATATACCATAAAAAGTCCATGGTTGGACATGGGCTTTCCTAAGTTGGGAAAATTTATCGTAATTTTTTAGGTGTTAGAGCCATCCTGCAGCTATTTTGTGTGGTTGTACCATGAATAGGTCGACTCGACCGGGGTAGGACCACGTTCTTACTGAATACCAGCGTAAAATAGCAGCCTAATGCTGCTGTGTTTCATATGGTGAGTGTAGAGAACCGGAGACCCTTTTTACTGGAAACGAGGCATTCTATATTAGTCCTCAGGGGTGATAACGCATCTGCATTTTGATTCTTAATCGGGGATAAATGTAGATATCTATGGGCCACAGTATCCACTTACCATCAGGTGGACCGTGTGCTCGTTTGTACGCTTATTTTCTAAAAATATCCAGGTAATACATAAATCTCAGACTATTACAAGTTACATAAGCGGTTTCCTTCACTGGTCAATTCTAAATGCATTGTGTAGTAGTCTTTTTCTTTAAAAATGACGGGAGAGTATGGCCGCCAAAAATTGTACAATAACAGTAGTTAATTCGTAACACACGGTAACATTCGTGAATGGAAGTAACATGTGTGAACTTTATTAAGCCTAGTGTACATAAGTAGCAGACATTCCTAATAATTTTTGGTATGACATTTTTCGTTGTCAAACTATGTTTGAAACTAAATAAAACAAAATTTTATCATGGATTTTTATTTTGGAATCTTAGATACGTAAGTACTATATAAAAATATTACAAACATAAACAAATTGTTGTTTGTAATTACGTAATAGGTATTAAAAAAATAATTCTGCATAAAAACAACATTTTTGTATGTACCATAGTGGTGAATTAAACATAAGAGTGACTTTAAATAAGCATTATTTATAATCTATATGTGAATAAAAATGTTTTTGGTCCGTTCAAAGATTAAGAAGAAAACTACGAAGCATTTCTGTCGTGCAGTGTAAAGGGTAAACAGAGCCGGTATAATTGCAGCCTGTGAGAAAATTAGCCCATAAAAAATTTTAACGTTAAACCACACGCAACCAAAATGTTTTTTACTGATTACTTTACGTGTTGTGCGTGCCGATTGAATTACCAAAATTGACACTTTAATTCCTGAACTCTAACTTAAACTTAAATCACACTAATAATTATTCACACTTAACACTTTAGTTCATTTTATTTCACTCCGAAAGCTTCGCTCGTATCGCCAATTCAATACTGCCCCGGTCGCTTTTTTTTTTGCGCCCGAAGCAAATATGGGCAACCCTCCGGAAAGCGGGGGAGGGAGGTTGGGAATGCTCATAGCATACCACGCAGCCGGCTGCGTGGTTATGTGGTGACTTACCCACTAAACCCAACCTTTTAGGAATTGGCTTAACGATCTGACTAGAGATCTCTAAGCCGTATACGAACGCGACCCTCCTTGGCAGAAAGGAGGGCGCAAACCCCGGTCGCGGCCCTCAGCGGCCTTAAATACGCCCCCTCCACCTAAACGTCCAGAACGTTCCAGCAAACACCGGTCGCGATCACTAAGTGCAGAAAGTTTGAGTGTGGATCTAAAAAGCTTAATTATTCTATTCGTTACTAGATGGCGCTGTTGGGAGAGTTCCAGAAAGATCTTGACACTCCTATTTATAATACTTGATACCAGATGGCGCCAGTGCCATTAACTGTGGCGCGCAACATTACTAAGAATTTTTTGCACTATTGAACATCTAATACTTACGAATAATTAAGTCTAATCAGCCTTAACCCGGCGTTACTCGCTAGATAATTATTGACACGAACACTCTCTACTGGGTAAAAAAATACCCCGGAATTAGTTTGACATAATTTAAAGGAATTCGTAACATTTTAAATTTTGACTATGTATTAACTTTATTTACACTATGTTCTATGAATAAAACTACAAATGCAAGTTGTAGTCATCTTTTATTTTAAACGAGGCCTAATTATTAATTAATAACAAAAACTTTAAGATTTATTTGTATTCTTAACAAAAACAACAAAAAAATACATTTTTTCCTTAAGATTCGTGCAAAATTGAGATCTATATTCAAAATAGACATACTGCCTTATAAAATGAACACAAAATAATTATACTTTTATAATAAGCGAAGTTTGAGAAAATCATCGTCAAATAGCTTGCTTCAAAATGTCAACGCCAATCAAAATTACTTTACTCTATCAAAACACTCGCCACAGATTGGAGTAGTATGCTCTTTGCAAATCTTTTTGCAGCACAATTCACAGATTGTCTTCGTTTTCCGGTCCTTTTTCCATACACATACTGCACAGCGAGATGCTGAAGTGGAAGCTGTGGAGGGTCGCGAATCGGCTAAACTCTCGGATGGTGATTCTTCATTCAAGTTGGCACTAAGGATAAACTTAATTTTTGATTTTATATATGGTGACAAATTATGAACTGTGGTCCTCCTTTTTATTTGTGGCATCACAAGTCCCAAAGCTAGGTCTTTCAGGGCGATTCTTCTCTTAGCCATCACAGATTCATTATTTTCTTTATTTGCTTTTACAATAACGTACGCATTAATGCCGCCGATGTTCAAAAGCCCATAAAAAACTACTAACGGCCATCTTCTGGTTGTCCGTGCAACTGAGTAGGTAGCACACATCTCATCCACAACATCGACACCACATTTGTTCGCGTTGTAATCTATTATCATTTCGGGCTTTCTTTCTTCTCCGGGATCTTTTTTGCCGTCATGGTGCATAGTGGATGCCAAGAGAACTACTTTTTTTTTCTTTGGGACATAAGACACTATAGTACAATTTTCTTGAAACCCAAAAATTGAAGTGTGAACTTCCCGACCATGAGTATTCGTAAAGACTGGCGGAATTTCAGCCTTATTCTTTCTCAACGTTCCGAGCGCTGTCAACCCATAATCGTTATACAAATCACGCAACAACGGGAAGCTGGTGAACCAGTTGTCCATCACGATATTCCTATGGCTGTTTTTTATAGATTCTACCAAACGTTTGACGACATCGCTTGGTGAATTACTGTGATCGTATGGCCCTTCATTTTTTCCAACATAAACTTCTAAATTATTTGTATAGAAGCTTCGCGCGTCAGCCATCACAAAAATTTTTATACCGTATTTCCCAGGCTTACTCGGTATATATTGCCTGAATGGGCAACGACCACGTGTTTTCTCCAGTTTTTCGTCAATTGTCACGTTTTCGCCCACAACATAGTATTTTTTTATGTTATCGTTGATCTCTTGGAAAACCTCTCTTATAGCCGCCAGCTTATCTGTCTGCCTTCTTTCAGCTCTTGTATGAATATCGTCAAAACGTAAACTTCTTAGTAAAAAGTGAAATCTTTCGCGTGACATAGCGGCAATACATATATCGCTACCACTTCCATCCTTTTCCCAGAGGTCTTTTGTGTTTAGATGACCACTTCGCAGTCGTCCACACAAATAAAGTAATCCAAAAAAGAGCTCTTATTTCAAAAATATCCGTTTGCTTACAGTCCGTTCAGTACAGTTACAGTACCGTTACAGTACGTTCTCTTGAGTAGTTAGATTTCAAATTTTGAATATACATGTTTGTATAGTGTATTATTTTTTTGTAGTAAAGACTCTGGAAAAATAAGATCCCAGACTTCTAACATAGACGAACAACGTTTTCCTTCACCAATGGGACCCGGCAAGTGTAGAATAATATTATGAGATCTCGTTCGAACACGCCGTGGTGGCTCGCGGACTTGCCACTCAGATCTTTTGTCTTTTCCAATAAATTTCCCTAGTCTACGATAATTCAATGGCACATCTTCTAAATATTCTTTATAAATCCCTTCATTTTCAATCTGTTGATCTGGCAAATGAGAGTTGAAATTTTCTTCTGAATCTAGGGGTGTGTTTGAATCACTTGCTTCCTGCTCCGTTTCACTATCATGCTCACTATGTTCTTCGAAATCTTCTTTTTCCGACACAATTTCTTCTTCATCGTCTTCCTCTTCTAGCAATTGTGCTATTGTATTCTCCTTTAGTGGACAAGACATCGTGAAAAAGCTCTTATACAAAAAAAAATGTTTATTAACAAATCGAAAAATAATATAACGAAAACAGTCGCTACTGGGTAATTTTTACCCTTACGCACTTTATACGTCCGTTGTTGCTAAGCACCGCGCGCAAACTGGCTGCCCCGTGACACGCGCATGGAATATGTCTCAGCTTGAAGGTACCTAGAATTGCGATCTGCTCGCGCGCCTTAAAATAAAAGTTAGCTTAGAAGTACTCTGTGGTATTTTTTACCCAGTAGCGAGTGCCCCCGGGTTAACCCTTAACTGGAATTGCTATTTAATCAACGTAACTGGAATCGTGGGTCATTTTGGACCCAGAAATAAAAAAGTCGTATATTTCATAAATTACTTCAGGTAACAACCTAAACGGGTCAGCATAGTAATGAAATCGGTCTATTTAAGAATATCAAACAACATTTATTACTAAAGTTATTAACATAAACATGTTTTTCAAATTTAACACTTAGGCGCTATATTTGGTAGGAATTTTTGAATATCTCACTTTGACATCACATATAACTATAAAAAATACTTAAAATTAAAAAAAAACTGTTTCACGAGGTTTCAAGTATCTTCCCCTTAATTAAGACACTAATTTTCTTAGAAATTATTGTATAACAAAAAAATGACATCCTATCAAAAAATAACAAAAAATCGTCAATCAGTGTTTGAAATCTATGTATGGCACTTGAGGCATAACAATTTTTTGTGCATAATGTTTGCATATGTATTTAAAACATTTGGACACTTTTGTGACTGTTTGTTATCTTTTTTTGGACCACATAAAAAGCATCTTCCCCTTTTTCGTGTTCCAGTTTGAGAAGAAGAGGCATTTTCTTGTAGCAAGTTTTGTTGCTCTTCAACTGGCGCTAAGAAATTGTCAATCCTACTCTTCAAATCTATTGAAAACGATTGATACTCCGCCTTCCTCTCCACAATGAATGGCTTGATCAAATCCAGTCCTATTTGTTTTATGTACTGATTACGTTTCATTCGTTTACCACGATTTGAAGCCTTCCACAAAACAAACTCGCACTTGCAATATTCAGAATGGCTGAAAATATTACGCATGGCCGTCGTTGAGTTCTTCTGGAAACGGTATAGTTGGCGCATTTTTGATCTAAAGCATCAACGCCATTGTTCGTGCTGTTATAAAATTCAATTATTTCTGGTTTTCCACTTATTTCCATTGATCGATTTGTCGTGATGCATTAATGAGATCATTACTACGCTTTGATTATTTTTTGGGACATATGATGCCAAAGTTTTATCTTTCACGAATCCGAACAATGTCGAGCCTATCTTCCTTTGTCGATTAGGTAAAAAATCAGGTGGTATCTCTCTTTTATTTTTACGCACTGTCCCAACATAAGTCAAGCCCTTTTCGACAAGTTTGTTAACCAGTTCAATTGAAGAAAACCAATTGTCAGCAGTTATATTTCTGTTTGTTGCAAATAATGGCTCTGCCAACTGTAGCACATTTTGTGTTGGAATAGAAACTTGGTTTCTTTGGTTGGAATCTGACTTTCCCGTGTAAATAAAAGCATTATACAACTAATGCGTTTTAGCATATTTGGCAGGCTTGGGTTTCATATAAATTCTGAAGAAACACCTCCCTCTAAAAGGACAAAGCATTTCATCAATTGTCACATACTCAGAACAATTATAGTTTTTCTGACAGTTCTCAATGAAATCGCTAAATATTTCAGAGATAAGAGCAGCCCGATCATTTATTCTTCCTTCTTCTCTAGAATTGATATAATCAAATCTCAAAGTAGACAAGAGGAACATAAACCGTTTCACATTCATTGTTATTCTGAATATATCTCTGCCTGTTCGATCTGTTACCCATAAACTTTCAATATCTTCATGACCAGATTTGAATACACCTGATAAAATCAGTAAACCAATGAATGCTTTCATTTTCACAATGCTCACGTGATTAGTGTCAGTTGCGTCGTTCCGATACTTTTCCGGAATATTCTGTTATTTTTTGGTTCGTATGTTTGATGTCAGTAGCTGCTATGATTCAATTGGTGACATATTGTGTTTTTCACGGGCAGGACCCACAATATCAGGCAGGTGTGATATGATGTTGTGACTTCTGATTCTGGAGCTACTTGGAGGATTTTTGGACCACTTGATTTTATTTTTACCTCGGTAATATGTACCACTTGATGGTTGAGCATCTTCATGTTCCTCTTCGCCTAATATATCGCTGTCAGATAATGAATCGCTTGAGTTAGATGAAATTTCAGGTTGTGGAACTTCGTTGTCGCTTATATTTTCATCATCACATGGTTGAAAATCGATCAAACATTCTAATTCCGAATCAATTTCTCCTAATAATAATTCACTTATATCATTATCATTTAAATTACGCGCCATTATTCAAACAAAATGCCTGAAACAATGCAAAATTTAAAAGTATACAATCAGAGAAATAGCTAAGTATCTGGAATCGTGGGTCCAATTGGACCCAGCGAAAGCACTTACCACCGCTTCCAGTAAACTTTAAGAGCCGAACGTCCGGCCCCCGCCGCACCTCCCGACGTAATGAGATTACATGGAAGCGCAAGCGTTTAGCTTCATGCGTTTAAAAATAAAATCGATTTTTTGTCGCCTTTGGGTCCAAATGGACCCACGATTTCGGTTAAGAGTTAATATTATATTGAATAAAAATATAATTTATGGAGAACCAGTTACATTCCTAACCTTGTTTATTGTTTTAATTATTATGTTAAACATTTGAACAATTAACATTTAAAAGAATTGTTTTACTTGATTTTTTTAAATAAATTATTTTTACTAGAGTATTAGAAATTACTATACTTAACAATAATTCAACGCTTTTAAAATTATTTGGAATGTAAATTAAATTGGTAAATTACATAAAAATATAATGAAATAAGATGTTCCAAAATGTATGGAGCCTGGGCCAGGTTCTTGTACACTATACTCAAAAATAGGGAAACACATTTTAAATGGTTCTCAACTGTTTAATTATTTTATAATGGCTTTGTTTGCTGGTAAAGCACAGAAAATTACACTTGAAATTGCAACACACAACAAAAACCCGTCATGGCGGTAAGTTATTATTTTTATTAGTAACGTTTAGCAACGTTTGACATGTTCATGCCTCGTATTTTTGACACTGTGACAACTGACAATTCAGTTTTATGATCAATAGTCGCTTTATAGTTTACTGTCATTGCTATAAGCACACAGTAGCTAAATCGGTGAGACGCCATGTTGAAAGTCGATAAAAATAATTGATAAAGATCAATTGTTTACCACAACTAGGTACATTTAAATGAATTTTTCCATACATAGACATTTACATAGACCTGGGCCATTTTGAAACATCTGCTTTATAGTCTTCTTAACTTTGTAACTAACCTAAATTGTGACTAGTTGTTAGTTGCAATAACCTCTAACTAGTTCAATAGGCCTGAGAATAGTCAAATAGAATAAATCTAACGCAACACTTAAAAATGAATCTGATTTCCAATTATTTTCACAAATAAGCGTTCTTTTTTCGTAGGTTGTTTAATGTTGGTTTATGAATTGTTTTTAAAAATCGTATAGAATAACTTACGGTTTCATCTGCTTTTACACTTTCTATGAATCCTATATAATATTTTCAAGATGTTCCTAGGAAATACCTTACTAATACGCTATCACCTACACTAAAATGGTTTTCGTCTTTGCTATATGGGAGATCACGGTCTTTATTAGTATTTGTGGTTATATCAGTCTTTTCGGATTGCTCTTTATTGTAATGGGGAAGATTTTTGCCATTTTTTTCCGCTAGGTTTCGCGATTGCTATGACCTTTTTTTTTTTTTATCCGTGTTCCTTCAGTGCCCTTACGTTCCGGAGCCGCGGTATCTCTTTCGAACAGCCCGCAGCCCCGGCAGGCGTCGGCCCTTGCGGGCCCCTTCACGCTGCTGACAGCTCTTTGAGGCGCGCGTGGAACAAAACGCGCCGTCGACACGGCCTGTCGTCATTAGACGGACGGACGACGAGCTACCCATTGCTCGCCGTCCACAGGCCCGCGCCTACGGTGGCCGGGGGCCACGACGTAGCCCCCGACGCCCGGGGCGTCTCCCGCGGCGGCCGGGGAGGAAAGCTGCTGCTCTCTCCTTCTCCCGCTCCGCCACCTCCTTCGCCAGCATCACTGCTTCGCAGAAGGTGGTGACGGCATCCCATTCCGTCTCGCTCCGGACCATGGCTTCGACCAGGGCCGGACGCGAGAGGTCGCCGCCGCCTATCGCCGCTACGAGGACCCGGCGGTGCTCCGCCCAAGCAGGGCACACCTCCACGGTGTGTTCCACCGTGTCCTCCGGTCCATCCTCGCAGTGGGAGCACCCGGGCGTTTCCTCCCGCCCGATTCGGTGCAGGAACCTCCCAAACACACCGTGTCCGGTGAGGACCTGCGTCAGGCGGAAGGTGAGGATGCCGTGGCGTCTCTCAAGCCACTCCTCAAAGAGGGGTCTTATCGCCGCTATAGTGGCGTGCCCAGCACGGGGTTGCGACAGTCGCTGTCTCCATGTCGCCATGAGATCGTGCCGGAAGTCTGTCCGCTGCGCGACAACTTGCCGCGGCAGCGGGGTTTCCCCACGGCATAGTGCCTCCGCACGCCATTCGTGCAGGCGCGTGAGGACTATCGCCTCCAGATCCCATGGCGGCAATCCGGCAAGGAGGCTCGCCGCCTCGCGGGAGATCGTGCGGTAGCCGCGAACCATTTTCACGGCTATCACCCTTTGGGGCGCGTTCAGGTGGTGGACGGCAAGCCGCGCCAAACCACGCGCCCACACCGGGGCCCCGTAAAGGGCCATGGACCGCACGATCCCCGCGTAGAGCCTCCGGCAGGAGGCGTTTGGCCCTCCCAGGTTCGGCAGGAGCCGCCTGAAGGCAGCCCCGGTCCGTTCCAGTTTGGGAGCCAAACGTCGGAAGTGCTCAACGAAGTTCCATCGGCCGTCGAGGACGAGTCCTAGGTACTTCAGCGTCGACTCGACGTCGATGGATACCCCTCCTACCATCACTGAGGATCCCGGTGGTGGCCTGTTCCGAGGACCATGGAAGTGCATGGCCTCGGACTTGTGCAGAGCCACCTCGAGACCCAGTTGCCGAATCCTCTCAACGACTATCGCAACCCCGCGTGTCATATTTTCCGCCGCCGCCTCGTACGACCCCCCCTTGTGCCAGTACCAGCGTGTCGTCAGCGTAGCAAACTACGCTGACGCCGGTAGGGAGGTCGGCGCGCAGCACCCAGTCGTAACCGATGTTCCACAGAGGTGGCCCCAGAACCGAACCCTGTGGGACACCGCACGACATCTCTCGCCGGTTCCACTCACCGTTGCGACCGGGGTAGATGACGGCCCTGTCCATCAGGTAGTCCCCGACTATACGACGGAGATAGGTCGGCACCCGGTGATACCGGAGTGCCTCCCTAATGCAGCTCCAGGGCATGGAGTTGAAGGCGTTGGCGATGTCGAGAGACACCGTCAAGACAACCCCCCCCTCTGGCCACTGCATCCCCCGTCGTGAGGGCTCTCACGCGCATGATGGCGTCCACCGTAGAGCGCCTCTTGCGGAAACCAAACTGGTGTTCCGCAAGATCCGGCCCCGTCCCCGCAAGGTGCTCGGCGAGGCGGTTTGCAATGACTCTTTCAAAGAGCTTGCCCACCTCGTCGAGCAGCACCACGGGCCGGTATGCGGACGGAAAGTCCGCAGGGCGCCCCGGCTTCCGAATGAGGACCAGCTTCCCCGTCTTCCAATGAAGCGGGAATTGGCCTCTCTCCAAGCATGCGCTTAGGAGCCCCTCCAGTCGGGGCCCGAGAGCCTCCGAGGCCAGGACCCAGGCTTTGCCAGGCAAGCCATCGGGTCCTGGGGCGGTATTCCTGGCCTTGAGCCTACGTACCGCCACTCTCAGGTCTACCCCAGTCCCTTCCGGGATGTCGTCGTCGTCGTCCTGGTGGTCCGCTTCCGGCACCGCAGGTGGCGGAGCCATAGGCGGGGGCGGATGTTCCCGTCGCGCAGGGAACAGAGCGCTCACCACGTCCTCCACGCGCTGGGGCCGGAGACTTTGCGTCAGCGGGGGGCCCAGGTGCGGAGTTTATCCCGCACCATCTTGTAAGGGCGCCCCCCACGGATCTCTGTTGAGAGTCTCCAGCATCTCCTCACGGGCCCGATCCCGGGCCCGCAGGACAGCCTCCCGGAGGGCGTTCTTCGCCTCTCTGTATCCCTCGTACAGCTCCGCCTCAATGGCTGCCGCATTCGGTGGACGAATGCGGAGCCTGCGATGCCTGGTGTACAGGTGCCGCGCGGCGACACACGCCTCGCGCAGAGACGTCAGCTCACGCGACCACCAATACACCTGACGCCGGGCGCTTCCTGGCCGGACGCGGGGCATTGCCACGTCACATATCTCGGACATGGCCTCCTGGAACCACCCTGCCTCATCATTGACGTCGGCAGGCCTGTCCGGTGATGACACCCAGGCCTGCACGATCGAGGCTTCCAGGAGGAGCTCCCGGTCCAGCTGCTTCAGTGCCCAACGCGGACCACTCGGGGCCTGTTGGACTGGCGCGCTCGAGGGCTGGGTGGAGACATCAAACCGGATGTACCGGTGGTCGGAGTAGGTCTCCACTCCCTCCATGACACGCCAGTCAATGGCACGCGGCGACAGAGCGGGGCTAGCGAACGAGATGTCCACCACCGACTCGCCCCGCATCCGCACACACGTGGGGACAGAACCCCGATTTAGGACGACCAGGCCTGTCTCCAGAGCCCAGTCTTCCACCATCCTACCCCGCACATCTGTACGACGAGAACCCCAAGCCAAGTTCTTGGCATTGAAGTCCCCGAGGACAAGTACGGGGAGGGGATAACTTCCGACGACGACTGCTCTCAGCTCTGCAAGAGAGTTGTGGAGCTCGGCGAGAGATCGGTTCGGGGAGAAGTACACCCCCACAACGACGAACTCCCCGAACCGTGCTGCTACGCACCCCTGACCCCTCCTGACAGCTTCAAGGGTCGGGGTACCGGCGGCGGCCGAAGAGATGATGGCCACTGAGCCGTTAAGGTCCGCCACCCAGTCCTCACTAGGCCAGACAAAATACGGCTCAGCGACCACAGCGATGTTAATCGACCACTGCGCCATGCTCTGGAGCAACAGATCCTGAGCGCAGGCGCAGTGGTTGATATTCGCCTGGAGGAAGCTTAATGGGGCCGTTATAGGCATTCCATTTCAGCTTCCTCCACGGGGGGCCCCTCTGCGGGCGTCGGTGTCGCGGCGGCGGCGGCGGCGGCGACAGTGAGAGCGGTGGCGGTGGCAGTTGCGGCCGCGGCAGAGGCCACAGAGCTGGTGGCGGCTTTGGCCCCTACCCTACCCGCGGCCTTGGCCTTGGCGGGTGGCACGCAGGCCTTGCTTCCGGCCCGGTGATCGGCTGGCTTGCCGGTTGCCGCACATGCATCACAGTGCGGCGTGGCGTAGCAGGTCGCCGATATGTGTCCGGGCTGACAGCAGCGGAAGCAAAGGCCACTGCGGTCAACCTCCGAGGCGCATCTCACTGATACGTGGTGCCCCACGAGACAGCGATAGCACCTCAGAGGTCTGGGCTCCAGCAGCTTAACCTGCGCTGAGACCCAGCCCACCAGAAGCCTTCGGCCCTCCACTATGGTTTTGGCCGCCGTAACAGGGCAGCGCACCGTGGCGGCATGCATACCCTGATGGTCCGGGCGTATGGCTCGGCGTCGGACTCTGTCCCCGCATCGTTCCTCCTCTCCTCTACGTTGCCGTTGCCGGCGGTTTTGTTTGTTTGTTTGTTTTTTTTTTCCATTTTTGTACCCACGATTATGGGGGAATTAAACGTCCACCTTGGCAGAGACCCCTGTACCAAGGTAAGCAGATTTAGAGGATTTATTACTCGCCAGGGGGGTCTGCAGGTACCCTGGCGAGGACCGCACTTGCGGCTGATTTGTTCATAGAACCCCGTCAGCCATCCATCCCCTCGCGGTGCGTCGCCGCTTGGGATTCGGGGTAACTTTTTATAGAGGTTTTCTCCCTCGCGGTCCGGGCGATTAAGCCAAGACCCTCGGTCCTTATCAAAGCCGCGAGACATGATCCACGACACTTCGACTGGGATTACGAGACCGGCGGTGACAGCAAAGGATGAATCCTTCACTGTCTGCCCGGAGGCAGGGTAAGTGCACACCGAGCCCGCCCTCGCTCCTCTGCTATGCCCTCTGCTGATCAGAGGGTCACGCAGAGGAACGCACTGTTGGTCCGGGATGGACCCCCCCCATGTCAGAATAATTAGCCGCGGCAGCAACATTCCCCCAAGAAATAAGAATTTCTTCTCATTTCTCGAGGAAGATTACCACCGCGCCCAGGGTGCACCGGCCCAGTTGCTGCTCTTCCCTCCAGACGTATCGAGAGGGACCCGTAACTACCAGGCTCACGTGGAGGACTTCTGACTTCGCACCCCTGATTGCTATGACCTGCTGTGCCTATCTGTGCACCGTTATATTTTAGATCTTTTTGTGAATAAAAATTTCATCCTTTGTGATATACGCAACCTGGAGATCTTTATATTTATAGATGATAAGATTACAGAATTCTCGGTTAGTACAAAATAGTTGGCCTTGTATCTGATAGTAATAGGGATGTGTTTTTTTATTTGCAGTTCTCCATTTTCTAGACACAGATATGGCACATTAACCGGATTTCTTGAGCCATACCGAGTGGAGTAAGGGCATTTTACTTCAAAAATTGTGTTATTTCCAAGTAATCCGTCAGGAGAAGCACCTAAATATGGTTTCTCGTTATTAATGAATAAGCCACATTCTTTAACATCAAGTGCATTTGCACAATTGCATTATCACAATATTGTTTTAGGGCTATTTTTTTACTAATTTTTACATACAAAGACATTATATTCTTTACAAAGCTGGGCATGTTATGGTAACTCAAATGGCAAATGTATAAAATTACTTGCTGTGAGACAATTTTTGATTCTGTGTTGATACCAATTTTCATTTTGTCTTTGCATTCTGGTGTCTCTTTCGATATTTTCAATATCTTCTAAGGTAAAATTTTTTAACACTTAAATGCATAATTTTTCCTTTTTAACAAATAAAATTTATTTGGGTGTAAGGTAAAAATAATAAAAAAAATATTCTTAAAAGTATTTAATTTAAAAAAAATGGATTGGTGGAAATTTACATTATTATGTCATCAGAACTAGTCTATTGGGAACAAATGTTTATTGAGACAATAAATTAACTCATTATGGTATTTATTGAAACAATTATAGTTTTTGTTGGAGCACAGGCTTACATTACACTTGGAACAATGTATAGTTGAATATCCCTTACAATTAAGGTATTTGCATCACAAAGATCCCCTTACCAAAGGCCAATGATCTAGCTCATCTCTTCGAACTTCTTTTGTTGGGGCCACTGATACAGCACTTCTTTTCTTAAAGATAAAGATATTTATTTTGTAAAACATGAGTAAAAAATACAGGTGTTAAAAAAACTTAAAACGAGCTACATGTTTTGCCGTTTATGGCGTACAAAAATTACACTACATATATTAATTATTCTACAAGACAAATTAACTAACCCTTCCTCGCGGGGCAAGGACGGGTTATGTCGGACTCGCACCGACTAAAACCCCATGGTGTTCCCCCTTTGTCGCATATTGGCAGGGCTACGGGAACGCTTTCGCACACATCCGCGGCCCTACTAGCGCCTGCAACCCCATGGCAGCACCTCCTCGGGAGAGGAAAATTCCTCCCCGTTCTCCTTCCCAGGTAAGGCGCACCAGAACACATGGCGCGCCTTCCTCCGCGGCCTCCAACTACGTCTGTGCAACAGACGCCCCCCGCGTCCGATGCACAAAGGCCATGGGGCCAGGAAAAACAAGCACTTAGAAGCCTTCCCGACCCCAGCGGCGGATCTGGTCTATGGCTCCGCCGCCAACCAAGATTCGGCTGCGGAGGGTAGGGAGAGCGGCGCCTCGCAATACCGACAATCCTCTCCCCCCGCAGCCCCACCACCACCGCATCAACGGTGCGGCCCCGTTTGAGTCGCGAAGGATAGGGTAAGTGGCGCATCGCCATACCAACACTCCTCTTCCTCCGCGACTCCACCTCGGCTGCAGCGGTAGAGGGTGCGCGAGTCCCCACTCGCTGCAGTCCACCAGCACACATCCGTAGTGGGCTCCCCAAGCCCACTCGGAGTGGCCACCTCAGGCCGGCCCTTCACCTCGGGCCAGCCACGTGGATTCCTCTTTGTTCACCATGGGAGACCAAGCCACGGCTACTAAGCCCCCCCGCCACGACAAGGCGGGAACCCGTTCGGGGGGAAATTAACTAACCCTACGTTCATAATTTTAGATGTGCAACAATTTCAATGGCGTCTCGTAAAATTGCATTAGAGAAATGTCGCAATTCATAATTTAGCTTTAAACAAATCAATCACTTAAGAAATCAGGCTAGCTGTTTTGCTATCAAATATTTTTTAAGATGTAGCTTTACAAACATTTGGCTATCAAATATTTTTTAAGATGTAGCTTAAAAAGTCTGGTAGGCAATTGTTTGATGTGTTTGGGGATTTTATTATATATTATTGGCGCCAGACAGAAAATACTTTTATGCATCAATGCCGTTCTTGAACCGACTGCGCATAACCTATTATTATCCCTGTCATTGCGAATTGTGACGTTCGATAGTTTCTTAAACAATTTAGCGTTACTTTGAACGAAGTTTGCTACTTCATATATAAATAAGGAGGGTAAGCTCAAAATGTTGTGCTCAATGAAATATGGTTTGCAGCTATCAGTAATTTTAAGACCGAACTTGCTCTGATGCACCTTTTTTGGGACTTAAATATAATTTCCTTATTAGTAGAATTTCCCCAGAATATGATGCCAAACCTCAAGATGGAATCAACAATACCATGGTATGCCGTAAGAGGCGCATCGGTACTTACGACGGATGAGAGTTTATGGAGCCCATAAGCAGAAGAACTAATTCTTTTGTTTAGTTCTTCTGTGTGTGCTTTCCAGGTTAAACTTTTATCAATGGTTACATCTAGAAATTTTGTTGTATCTACTTGGAGCCGTGGTAGCTCAGATGGTTAGCGCTCGCTGTAAATTTCACAGTACGCTAGCAAACCGGGTTCGATCCCCGCCGGCACCAATGAAATTGTTAATTTCAATTTTAAGTGCTGATTTACCACGTGCTCGGCGGTGAAGGAAAACATCGTGAGGAAACCTGCATGTCAGAAATAAGAAAAAAAAATATTTCGAAGACATGTGAAGTTCGCCAACACGCATTGGGGCAGCGCGGCGGACACTTCCTTGCCCTAAAACCCTCTCAGAAATGAGGGGAGGCCTGTGCCCAGCAGTGGGACGTATATAGGCTGTAACTTTAACTTTAACTTTTAACTACTTGGTTGATTTCTGTCCCTTGCTAATTAACGTTAATATTTGGTGCTGCTAAGTGTTGACTGAAGTACGTAATTTTAGTTTTTTGAAGATTAATTTTTAAATTATTGTTATTTAACCAGTTTATTATTAAATTAATTGTATTATTAATTTCACTTTCAAATTTATCCTTATTGATAGACTTTATTGTTACCGTACTGTCATCGGCAAATAGCGATATTGGATATTTTGTAATTTTTGGTAAATCATTTATGTAGATTATGAACAACAAAGGACCTAACACACTCCCTTGTGGGACACCGTATTAAACTATTTGTTCGTTTGTTTGATATGCATATATGTTAATATTTATTCTAGAAATTTCGGTATATTGTGTTCGATTTTTAAGATAGGATTCCATGAGATTTAATACGTTGCCTCTGATGCCATAGGCTTCTAATTTACTGAGCAGAATGTCATGGTCAACATAATCAAAAGCCTGAGTCATGTCATAATAGATAGCGCATACCGGTATCTTTTGTCAACATTCATCATCACTCTATTTAAAAAATCGAAAATAGCCATATTTATGGTTTTCTTTTTGCGGAATCCTTTTTGGTCTTCTGTAAGAATGTTTAATTTTTCTAAAGAGTTATAAATTTCTCAATATATATATTTTTCAAAAACTTTTGATACTATAGACACAAGCGCAATACGTCTATAGCAGTTCATATTTTGTTTGTCATCTTTTTTAAACAATGGCTTAACAATTGAATTTTTTAAACTTTTGGGATAAGATCCTGTGCTTATACAAATATTCAAAATATGGCTGAGATGATCACAAATGTAATAAGCAACATACTTTAAAATTTTAGTTGAGATTCCATCATGCCCTACACTTATAGTATTTCTTAGTGATCTTATGATTTTAAGTATATCGTATGGTGTACTCTGTAGGAGAGATGCGCTGGTTAATGTTGATAATTCATAATCTTGACAGTGAAACGCGTCTTGCATTGAACACCTTTATTGAGAACTACGGTTACGGCACACGAGATTTTAATTATTGCAGACAATACTAATTAGCACACAGTGTCAGTAGAACAGTAGTGAGAGAGTAATAAGTAATAATTAATGGCGGCCAGAAGCCTTAATTTTTTATTTTTTAAATTTTTATTGTTGGTGTTGCCAACATGCTGGGGGCGCAGCCTTGAAACAAGACTTCTGAGTCTTCTATTATATTTACTATTATTTAAATGCCCTATTCAAGCAAACCAGCATATTGCCATCATTTAACATTTTCAAAAGGCAAGTTACTAAGACATTTTATTCTGACACCCTATATACTTAAATTACTTAAATAAATTATTCTTAAGATAGATTTAGTTATGCTATAACACCTGTGTTTATTTTATTCTAAAGGAAGTATAGCTATGCCGCTCAATGAACGCTTATATATTTTTTACTAGGTGTCACAACATCTACCACACAAATTTTATTGTCTTTCCCAGGATATACCTTTACAATTCTGGCCATTGGCCATGACAGAGGCGGGGAGTTTGGCTGTCGAAGTATCGCTAAGGCTCCTACTTTTACATTGGGCAAACTGTCACGCCATTTAGGGCGAGACTGCAAAATATTTAAATAATAATGGTGCCATATTTTTTAAAAATGGCCCTTAACCTTGTTACAAATTTCCCAGAATTTTAACCTAGCATTAGGTATATCCACATTTCTTTCAGGAAAAGAGGTTAATACAGTACCAATAAGAAAATGGCCTGGTGTAATAAAGCTAAAGTCATTTACATCATCAGCTGTTACAGGCAACAGTGCTTCAGCAACAGCTTCTATTTGACACAAAATTGTATTTAGCTGTTCATAAGTTAACATACACTACATATCCTTAATATACATATATACATATCCTTGTATGATACGTTTTAAATGAAATTTCATACTTTTGACTGCTGCCTCCGCAAGTCCAGCAAACACGGGCGAGTAACTGGGCACAAAGTGAAAATTTATACCTTGTTGTTCCGCATAATTTTGGACTTGTATTTGATGCACTTGTGACGACTGCAACTTATATAAGTGAACCAATTCATTCCTTGCCCCTGTGAAAGAGCCTCCATTATCACAAAACACATCTGTAGGCCCTTCGCGCGATTAACCGTTTAAAGCAAGCAAGAAAACAGTCAGTGGTTAAATCTGATGCGAGCTCGAGATGTATGGCTTTAGTTACAAAGCAGACAAACACACAGATGTAACCCTTTGTCTGTAAAGCACGTCGTAGTCGAGAATTTTTTCTTGTACTGGTCCCGCGAAATCAATTCCTATTTTCTGGAATGCTCTACAAGCTGTTAGTCTTTCAGGTGGCAAGGAACCCATCAGCTGTTTGGCACATTCGCTTTTTATTCTAAAACAAATTAAACAATTATGAATTTGCTTTTTCACATATCTATAACCATTAACAATCCAGTATCTCTGGTTTAAACTTGATAATAATAATATTGGTGCAGCGTGTAACAATCTTTTATGTTCATGGCTAATAAGTAATACGTGAATTTCTAGGTAGAATGATAGGGTGTTTTCTATCAAAAGATACATCAGAGTTTTCTATCCTACCACCTACTCTTAAGATGTGCTCTTTGTCTAGAAAGGGGTGAAGTGGTTTTAAAGAGCCTTTTACATTTTCGTTATTAAATTTTAATGTTTTAATTTCTTTTTTGAAATGAATGCTCTGCTCACGTTGTACAATTTTGCGTAAAACATATTGCAGCTCAAAGGTAGATAATGAAGTACTCGACCTACGCTCTTTTTTATTTTTAAAATTGTGGAAATATCTGAATATATATGCTAGAACACGTGTAATTTTATTGAGATCCGAAAAAAACCTATCGAGAAAAGTATAAAAATCGTCCTTATTTTGCGTAAGGAGGGAAACCTTGGCCGTGAAGTTTACAGCATCCTTTTTCACCTCAGGTAAGTCTGCCGGTGGTGGTGGTAAAGTAGACGAAAACCTATGGAGAAAAGCATAAAAATCGTCC